ATAAAAGACACAAGACACAGAGATAGAGAAAAGAGAGTTTGGGCCCAGGGGTCCACTGCCAACCAAAACGCAGAGACCTGTAGTGGCCCCGAGTGCCTGGACGCTCTCACTTAATAATTATTGAGTTGCGAATCTGGGGCAGCGTAGGTAGGGTGTGGCCAAGACTTTCAGGTAGCCCAGATGAGGTAAGAAGCATTGTGCATCAGCACTTTGTCCATACTAGAACAAAGACATTAAGATTTACATTACTTTTACTGATTATTTCTTCCAAGAAAAAAGGAACCATGTGCAGAAATGGAACATGAGAGTGGACAGGGAACGTGACCACTGAAGCACAGCATCACATAGAGACGTTTAAGCCCCGATGACTGCGGGCCTCCCTGACAGCGTCAGGCATACCGCAAGAGCTTGGAGGAGCGGAGTTTTCTCCTAACTCCTCTGGGGGAGGAGATGTCTCAGCCATTTTGAACGTCTCCTTCCCTAACTGGCAAAACAGCGGGCGCTTTCCCAGCACTGGCGCTGCCGCACAGCCGAGGCGCCCTCCAGCACCCCTTTACACGGGCGTGACAGAGGGTTTAGAGCATCTTGCCTTAGGGTCATTCATTTCACAGTGTTGCCCCAGGTTCACACTTCCGACCTGAGAGGCATTAGTAAAAGAATTAAGCCCAACACGGTGGCTCATGCCTGTAATCCCAGCACTTTGGGAGGCCGAGATGGGTGGATTACGAGGTCAAGAGATTGAGACCATCCTGGTCAACATGGTGAAACCCCGTGTCTACTAAAAATACAAAACATTAGCTGGGCATGGTGGCGCGTGCCTGTAATCCCAGCGACTCAGGAGGCTGAGGCAGGAGAATTGCCTGAACCCAGGAGGCGGAGGTTGCGGTGAGCGGAGATCGCGCCATTGCACTCCAGCCTGGGTAACAAGAGCAAAACTCCGTCTCAAAAAAAAAAAAAAAGAATTAAGATCACTAATGAATAACTACGATCACGTATGAATAACTAATAGCTACTATGGTTATAGGTTATATTTCTAGTTACTTTCTTCATTATTTGTATGGAAATAGGCTGAGGCTTTTGGCTCCTGTTGGCACTTATGGGATGTCTCCCCTACAGGGGAGATGTGGTCAGGAAAGAGCTGTATGTGAGGTGGGACCCATGGGATGTCCGTTGGGGTCTGTGAGTGGGAGGCAAGGAAATGGAGGAGTCGGAATAGATTCTAAGTTTTTGGCTCACCCAGCTGGAGGGCAGGGATAGCATTTATGTAGCAGAAAGACTGAGGCCAATTTGGGATGTAACAGGTTTGAAATATTCATGTGGCTATCTATCTATCATCTATCTAAAGACAGGGTTAACCGGGATCTATTTATCATCTATCTATCTACCTACCTACCTACCTACCTACCTACCTAGAGACAGGACTAGCCACGTGCCGTGGCTCATGCCTGTAATCCCAGCACTTTGGGAGGCCGAGGTGGGCGGATCATTAGGTCAGGAGCTTGAGACCAGCCTGGCCAATATGGTGAAACTCCATCTCTACTAAAAATACAAAAATTAGCCGGCATGGTGGGCATCTATAATCCTAGCTACTTGGGAGGCTGAGGCAGGAGAACTGCTTGAACCTAGGAGGCGGAGGTTGCAGTGAGCCAAGATTGTGCCAGCCTGGGGTGCAGTGGCACAATCATGGCTTACTACAGCCTCGAACTCCTGGGCTCAATCAATCCTGCTGTCTCAGCCTCCTGAGTAGCTGGAATTATAGGTGTGTGCCACCATGCCTGGGTAATTTTTTGTATTTTTAGTAGAGACAGGGTTTCACTATGTTCAAAACCAGCCTGGGCAACATGGTGAAACCCTGTCTGTACAAAAAATACAAAAATTAGCCGGGTGTTGGTGGCTCACGCCTGTAGACCCAGCTACTTAGGAGGCTGAGGCTAGAGAATCACTTGAGCCTGGGAAGTAGAGGTTGCCGTGAGCTGAGATCTCATCACTGCACTCCAGCCTGGGTGGACAGTGAGACCCTGTCTTAAACAAATTAATTTTTTTTTTTTTTTTTTTTTTTTTTTTTTTTAGGCTGGGTATGGTGGCTCACTCCTGTAATCCCAACACTTTGTGCAGGAGGATTGCATGAGGCCAGGAGTTTGAGACCTATCTCTACCAAAAATAAAAATAAAAATTTAGCTGGGCATGATGGCATGTACCTGTAATCCTAGCTGCAGAGGAAGCTGAGGCAGGAGGATCACTTGAGCCCAGGAGTTTGAGGCAGTGAGCTAAGATTTTGCCACTGCACTCCATCTTGGGTAACAGAGCGAGACCATCTCTCCAAAAAAAAAAAAAGAAAGACAAAGTAAAGAAAAGCCCAATTTTTGGTGAATCAGTGAGAGATGGCTGCCATAGTGGCGGTGGGTTAAGTCACAGAGGGGGTGATTACCATGGTAAAACCTACAGCAGCGCTTCCCACCACCACACGGTTGAAAATCAAACAATAACCTCATATTTGTTTTAAACGGCTTCAGTAAACCATGGGATCGGAGCGTCTTAACATGGCCCATGAGCTCTTCTGCTTGGGCAGGCTTCTTGGCTACCTACCAGGAAGGAGGATTCTGTAGCATCCCGACAATTTCCCATGGCGACAGATGCCACTCCGTCCACTCTGTGGCTGATCTGACTGACAGCAGAGAGCGGAGCTGGGTGCCTGAGATTTGAGGAGGCAATGCTAGGAGGCCCTGGGTGGGATGTGACTGCAGTGCACCCCATCACCCCACATGGCTCTAAGATCACACTGACCCCTCATAGCAGCCCCTGTAGCCAAAGTGCAATTGATCCCCATTCGATGCACAAGAAAGGCTCAGAGAGGTGAGATTCCTGGCCAGTCACCCGTGCTACCCTGCTCTGTGCTTGTAGGCTGCTGGCTGCAATTTCTTTCTTCCTCTCAGACTGTAATACTCTCTCTGAACCCCAGTTCTTCTTTCTCCGTATTTCTCTCTTTTTTGTGTGTGTGTATGGTGGTGGTGACCGCCACCATAGCCAGCTAATTTTTTTGTATTTTTAGTTGAGACGGGGTTTCGCTATGTTGGCCAGGCTGGTCTTGAACTCCCGAGCTCCTGATCCGCCTGCCTTGGCCTCCCAAAGTGCTGGGATTAGAGGCATGAGCCGCCGTGCCTGGCCCTGTGTAATTCTCTTAAAAAAGCTTATGTAGAGGCCGGGTTTGGTGGCTCATGACTGTAATTCCAGCACTTTGGGAGGCTGAGGAGGGCGGATCGCCTAAGGTTGGGAGTTTGAGACCAGCCTGACCAACATGGAGAAATCCCTTCTCTACTAAAAATGCAAAATTAGGCAGGTGTGGTGGCGGATGCCTGTAATTCCAGCTACTTGGGAGGCTGAGGCAGGAGAATCACTTGAACCCGGGAGGCAGAGGTTGCCATGAGCTGAGATCATGCCATTGCACTCCAGCCTGGGCAACAAGAGCAAAACTCCATCTCAAAAAGGGAAAAAAAAAGAAATTATGTAGAGATGGGGGGGTCCCACTATGTTGCCCAGGCTGGTCTTGAACTGCTGGCCTCAAGTGAACCTCTTGCCTTGATCACCCAAAGTGCTGGGACTGCAGTCTTGTGCCACCATGCTTGGCTTTTTTATTTTTTATCGAGATGGGGTCTTGCTATGTTGCCCAGGCTGGTCTCAAACTCCTGGCTTCAAGAGATCCTCCGGCCACAACCTCCCGAAGTGCTGGGATTACAGGTGTGAGCCACTGCCCCTGGCCTACTTCTCTTTTTGTCTGTCTCCCTCTCTCTCCACATCTCTTTTTGTCTCTTACTCTAGGGTTCTCTCAGAGCTTCCCAGCCCATCCCTCCTGCCTCCCCCTAAATCTTTCCATCCCTCTCTCACGTCCCTCTTCCTTGGCCTTGTAATGTCTCTGTGTCCTCTCTGCCCCAGGCTCCCTTTTGTCTGGATTCCTCCCAGTTCCCCCCTTTCCCCAGGGACTCCTCCCCAGAGGAGGTGGCTCCATCCCTAATTCCATGGAGTCTACAGCTAAGAGGGAGCTTTTCCTTGCCCAGCTTCAATTCCCTCTGGGGCTCTGGCAAGACAGACTGGGAACTTTTATTTAAGGAGACAGAACCCCACCTCCAGGCAGGCGCTGGTCCTTGGGGGTCCAAGATCAGTGCCCTCGGGACCCGGCATCTCTCCCTCCACCCTCGGCCAGCTAAGTCGCTCTCTGTGTGCTCACCGGCTGTCATGCTGTCATTTCTTTTTCTTTTCACAGTGTCTTGCTCTGTGTCCCAGGCTGGAGTGCAGTGGCGTGATCTCGGCTCACTGCAACCTCTGCTTCCTGGGTTCAAGTGATTCTCCTGCCTCAGCTTCCCAAGTAGCTGGGATTACAGGCATGGGCCACCATGCCTGGCTAATATTTGTATTTTTAGTGAAGATGCGGTTTCACCATGTTGGCCAGACTGGTCTCAAATTCCTGACCTCAAGTGATCCTCCTGCCTCGGCCTCCCAAAGTGCTAGGATTACAGGTGTGAGCCACCAAGCTTGGCTTCTTTTTCTTCTTTTTTTTTTAGAGATGAAGTCTCACTTTGTCGGCCAGGCTGGAGTGCAGTGGTGTGATCGTAGCTCACTGTAGCCTTCTACTCCTGGGCTCGAGGAATCCTTCCACCTTAGCCTCCTGAATAGCTGGGACTATAGGCACACCTGGCTAATTTTTGTATTATTATTATTTGTAGCAATGGAGTCTTGATATGTTGCCCAGGCTGGTCTTGAACTCCTGGCCTCAAGCCACCCTCCAGCTTTAGCCTCTCAAAGTGCTGGGATTATAGGTGTGAGCCACCACCACTGGGATTACAAGAATGATCCACGGTGCCCAGCCGGTCTCATTTCTTTCTCCATGACATCAGGCTTCTCCCGTCCTCTTGCAAGAGGGCGGACCGGGGAGGGGCAGCTAAGGGGGAGAATAACCTGCATCGCCCTTCCCCTCCCTCCTCCCAGAGGAAGCTCTGGCCACAGGATAGTGTCGATGTGACAAACAGCATTTATTCCAGACTCCAGTGTCCACAGATGATGGGGCAGGGCGGAGGTAGGGCTGGGCAGGGGCAGGAGCAGGGGCAGGGGCAGGGGCGGGGATCCAGTGTCAGACTCTGCAGCAGGACGTCAGCGTCAGGTCGGGGGACCAGCAAGGGAGGTGGGAGGTAAAAATAGCCCAGGCCAGCCGACCCTCGGAGCCTTGTCCCAGGCCGGGCCCTGGGCTTGGGCCAGGAGCTATTCTTGGGCCTGGGAGAGTCACACTCCCTGGAGGAAGGCCCCCTCCCACCCACTCACCCTCCCTCTCCTTCCCTCCCAGAGGCAGGCAGTCGCTGTGGGTCCCTGCCTGGCCAGCAGAGGAAGGAAGGGAGGGCTGGGCAGGGAGAGGAAAGAAGGAAGGCGGGGGCGGGGGCGGCGTGAGCGCGGCTGGTTCTCCGATGCCTGCAGCTCCAGGTCCAGGGACAGCCTCTAGGAGGTCCTTGGCTCAGCACTGGGGAGCGGAGGCAGAGGTCAGCCTCTGCCCACAGGTGCTGCACCACTGCCCAGCAGGTTCCTCTCACCAGGGGTCCGGGCCCTCACCCACCTCGTCTCTGAAGCCTCCGCTGCCACCCCGGCCTCCTCCAGAGGCACCTCCCATGAGAAGGCCGGTCTGCTCAGGCCGCTCCGACCCTGAGTGGCTCAGCTCTGGCTCCCCTGGCGGCCTGCGGGGAGGAGGCATCAGGGGGAGGCGTTGGGTTGGAGGTACACCAGGCAGGGGGAGGAGCTGAGGATGGGGGTGGGTGGGGCTAGGAGGCGGCTGGGGGTGGAGGTAAGGGGGGAGTGTGCTAGGTGGGAATGGCATGGGACTGGGTGAGGGGGTGGTAATGACACTGGGGTCAGGACTGGGCGTGGGGATGCAGATGCTATTGGGGTTGGAGATGGGAACGTAGCTGGAGCTGGCTTTGGGATAGATCTGGGATGGTCCTGGATGGCTGCGGACTGGAGATGAGTACAGCCATGTGGTGGGGCTGGCGAAGAGGTTAGTTGAGGAGCGGCTGGGAGAGGCTTAGCGGTTGGGGTTAGAGTCGAGAATGGGGAATGGGGACATGGGTGAAGTTGGCTTGGGGATGGTGGGGGTCTAGGGCTGGGAAGTGGCTAGACGAGGGCTGAATGGTGAGATGGAATTGGAGAAGTTGGAGTTAAGGGTGAGCTCAGGGGCATGATGGGAGCTGGGGCTGGAGGTCAGGGGAGGACGGCGATGGGGCCTGGGCTGGAGAGGAGCTCAGATGGGGATGGTTTGAAGGGGGTTATGGATTGGAGTTGAGGGGAGGTTGGGGGTCGGGTTGGGATGGGAGACAGGAATGGAGTTGGGAATGAGGCTGAGCTGGGGGCAGGAGAGGAGATTGGGGAAGGGGATGGTGTTGAGTTTGGCTTGGGGACAGGTTTGGGAATGGCTCTGGGCAGGGTTTGGGGCTGTAGCTGGGGATGAGGATGGAGTTGGGGATGTGTGAGTTGGATTTGGGGTTGCAGTTGGGGATAAGAATGGGTTAGGGATGGAGTTGGGGATAAGGATGGGTTGGGGATAGGGGTGGGGATGAGAATGGGGTTGGGGATGAGGATGG